GAAGATGTGATGTATAAACACAATGACGTATTATTAGCCAGTCATAAAAAGGAATGAAATTTTTCCACTTGCAACAGTATGCATAGACCTAGAAGGTATTATGCTGGGTGAAATAAGTCAGACAGAGAAAGACAAATACTGTATGATTTTGCTTACATGTGGATTGTAAAAAACAAAACAAAACAAATAAAAGAAAAGACAACAAAACAAATGAACAAACAAAACAGAAATAGACTTATAAATACAGAGAACAAATCGGCGGTTTCCAGAGGGAAGGGAGAAGGGGGGAATGGGCAAAATAGGTGAATGGGATTAACAGGTACAACTTCCAGTTTTAAAATAAATAAGTCATGGAGATGTAAAATACAGCATAGGGAATATAGCCAATAATATTATAACAAGTTTGTATGGTTACAGATGATAACTAGGCTTATTGTAGTGATCATTTAATAATGCATATAAATGTTGACTCAGTAATCTATACACCTGAAACTACTATACGTGTCAACTGTTCTTCAATGAAAATTTTTTTTTAGCAGATAGGTGGTGATGATTCCACTTTAAAAAAAAAATTTTTTTTATGGGAGCTCGCATTTTACTTTGTATAGCTTGTAGGGTATGACTTTTTTTTTTCAAAGAGCACATACCCCTTTACAATCAGGGAAATAACTGGAATCCTGTGATGATTCCACTTATATCATGAATATGGTTTCTGGACCTCTTATCCTCCTCATAATTATGCAAATTATTCAGCTAAGTTCAAATAAATAACAGAAATAATAGTTTAAATTTGCAGTACAGCTCTTGAAATGCTTTGGAGAAAGTATGATATAAAACCCCATAACATCAAAAAAGCAAAAATGTTGCAGTGAGATGAAGAAATTGAAGAGCCCAATGTGGAAGACAGACTTCACTACTTCTTTAACAAAAGGTTCTACCCAAATGTTGTGATCCAGTATGTGAAACATGATCTGAGGGAGGCTGTGGGAAAGACCGCTGGAGAGGGAGTTGGATGACTTGAGTTCTAGTCTGGGCTCTGCTGCTCAATGAGTATGTGCCCTTGAACAAATTAATACTCTTCAGCCACCACTTATTTTATCTAAATAATCAGAGAATTAGATTAGCACATTTTGCTTTAATTTGAGAGAGAGAGAGAGAGAGAGAGAGAGAGAGAGAGCACGAGCAGAAGAGGGGCAGAGAGAGAGAGGGAGAGAGAGAATCCCAAGCAGGCTCCATGCTGTCAGTGCAGAGTCTGAGGTGAGCCTCGATCTCATGACCCTTGAGATCATAACCTGAGCTGAAATCAAGAGTCGGATGCTTAACTGAGTCACTCAGGGCCCCTGGGTCAATATATTTTATTATAAGATTTCTATTGGTCTCTAAGTACTCCACGTAAGACCCATGTAGGAAAATTTTAGAGTTACTTATTTGGTGAAGATTATTTGGAATTTGTTCTGCATATGGATACTGGAAAAAGCAACAAAGTGCTTGGTGGAACTAGAAAGTGGGAGGACATAATTGAAACTGTTAATGAGTTACTTCAGGGGAGGCAGTGAAATAGTAGGCACTTATTTCACTGCTTATCTTTCAATTTGTACAGGTCAAGGGGCACTTTCTAAAATATATGCTACTTGTTTCCGAACTTTGTTCCCTTAGGAAAGAAATAATTTTGGTGATTGATGTGATTAATGATAATATTTATAAAACTTAGTTATGGCATTTAGCCATCTGTCATTTAGCCTTTTTACGGGTGGTGTTTGTATCTTTTCTGGTTTTGATGTAACTAGCTACTTTTGTGTATTTCTACACAGGAGGGTGGCTGTCTCTGTCATACTACATGAGCTTCTGGTAGAATAAGATTGGGGGAAAAAATTGAATTGAGAGTTGATTTAAAAAAATGATTTTATGCTAGGATATGGCAAAGCCAGAAATTATTTTCTAGGCAATAATTAAAAATTACTTTGATTTTTTCTTTTCTTGCTCAGTTATTTTTTATTTTATTATTTTATTTTCTTATTTTGTTTCAAAATGGGTTGTTAATGCAGCATGTTCTCTACAGCACATGGTCTAATTAAGTGGTCTCTTTACTATCTATTTACAAGGCAAAAAAATCAAAAACAGCAGTAGCCATTGTCACATTGACAATGCTGCCATTAGCACAGGTCACAAGTTTATTAAGAAAAATAATTATACCAAAATCATTGTTCAGATGTTTATGTACATTTTCATTGTTTTACTATTTTTCCTAGTTCTTATCAATATTGATTGATAAATCTCCTGAAGATCAAAGCCAACATATTTCAACATTTGAAAATAATGGGAAAATAGTTTCGGTTGTACAACCTAGGAAGACTGAACATAAAAGGAGACTCAGAAGAAGAGAGAAAAATATCAATGCAATACTAGAGTAAAATGATGAGAGAGATTTAGCGGTTAATTTTTTTGATGAGTATATGCTTACTTGAAAATTTATCTGTAGTTTTAGAATATGTTGGATCCAGATATAGAGGCTCCTCAACAAATGACAAATGATAACACATTAAATCACTCCACAGGTTTATACAGTTACAGGGTAGAAAAGGTTATTTGCTAAATTTTATTTTATTTTATTATATCAGCTATTTTATTTTTACTTTTTTGAGATTTTGTTTTTAAGTAATCTCTACACCCCAACATGGGGCTTAAATTTACAACCCCCAGATCAAGTGTTGCATGCTCTACCAACTGAGCCAGTCAGGCACCCGTTTGTTGGATTTTAATGTGCTGAATGTTTATTTCAAATCTATTTGTCAAAGTAAAGAATGGTAACAAATGCCTTTAATCTGAACAGGATGGATCTTAACGAGACATTAATGATTGAATTTCAGGGACTAATAATCTATTTACAGTAGTTCCTAATTTTCTCAATTGTTTATTTGCATGTTAAATGTAAAACTTGGAAGTTAAGTATAGCTTTAACATTGAATTAGAACAGTCACACATGAATTACTTAATAGCTTACCTGGATTTTAGTATACTGACCTGTATTTCATTTTCATGGCCTACTTTTAAATTCAATTGAGTCACATAATGGACTGTAATTGAGTCACAAAACAGGAAACAAGCTTGTGCCAACTATATGGGACAGACTTGGCATATGTGATGTCTTCACTCTGTTAGTGGAAAGTCAGTTCTGATAATCAGTCAGTTTATCATAAGCATTTCCCTCACCTGGTGAGACAGGACATAGTATAGGTCCATGTCCTTTACCTGTAATTATGAGATCCAAAAGGCTCTGAAAAGAGGAAGTATTTTAGAAATGCAAAACCTGATCTGACCTGAACTCATTTAGCAGTAAAAACTACTGAACTGACATGTGACTTGTATAGCTTCTCATATGGTTTACTACAGAAATATTAATGTGTTTGATAAAGGGGTGCTATCTAGATCCTGCTGGAATGTGTCATAATATATGACATATGTACCCTTTTTTTCTTTCTAAAATCTGAATTCCAAAACATATAGGGCCTCAAGAATATCTTTTCTTTGATCTGAAATCTCCTAATGACTATTTCTCAATGTTGAGTCACCCTTTTGCAAAAAATCTTTTCTGCAACTTCCCAAGTACGTTCATGATTATTGCATTACTATTCCAAGTGTTAAAGGCAAAATCTTGCTTTTATCCTCTCTGTGGTGGAGGCCAAATGGCTTGCTGAAAAAAGCCCAAGCTATAGCGTTAAAGAGATTTAAAATCAGATCTTGTTTGGGCTATACACAAACAAGGTGTGGGATCTTGGTCAAGTTATCTAATACCTCTAAGCATTACCTTTGTTTACTTGCAAAATTTTGATGCTGATACCTACATCCCCTCCCACCCTCTTTTTTTTTTTTTGGTCTCAGTCTCAAAATATGAATCCTGGTGAGGTGGAGTACGGTCCTTAGCCTTTACCACAGTTAGATTCCATTGCTAGTTCTTTGCGATGAGGATACGTAAAAATGTTAATTGTATGCATGCATAGCAGCTGTAAAATTTACTCCTGCCTTTTCTGCTGGGGCTTCAAGAAACCTAGTTTAGGTATAAAAAACTAGAAAAGTAAATAAAATAAACAGAATTGACATTGGAATTATTAGGGAAAACAAACTAGTCATCTAAGGTGTGCTCTGGCAGCAGAATTATGGGAAAGAGGTAAAAATCATGACAACGGATACTTTGAAAAATTATTGGGTTGCATTAATAAAAAATCTTTTATGACATTATTTTGGACATAATTTCTGATTAGGGGTGGAGGGAGGGTGCTCTGGAATCTTCAAATTTTCCATCAATATCTCTGATGCATAGTATGTAGCTTCAAAGGATTCATGACAAATTATGGTGCAGAAATCAAATATGTATTTAAATTGTTTATTATATATATATATTTTCCTACTAATGGTCCTTGTTTTGAGTTTTTAATGTTTATCTTTTGAAAATTGTTTCTTTTCTTGCATAGCGCTTTTGTTGACAGTTGAGGTTACCATTAGGAGATCCATCACCAGTCAGAAGGTTTTGCTTTACAGCAAACCACATGTACATACTCCATTTTCAATTACTCATTAATATTCAAGGTCTTTCAGACTGGGAACATTGGATGACACTCAGTATAAGAAATCATATGGTTACCATGGAGATTTGGAGCTATTCTAGATATTTGACCTCTTTTCTTTACTGCAGGTAATTTATTTTATCACATCAAAAGTTGCTTCCCAGGATAGAGTTTACTCTTTGATAAGTGTCTTTATGATTCCTTAATGCCACTGGTCTGAAAGGTATGTTTTTATAGATATATTTTGTTCTTATGTGTTTTTAGTCCATAATATTATCTTTGAAAATTACTAATGATAATGATAATAGGCATCATTTATTGTGCACCTACTATATAGCTCACACATGATCTCATTTAATTCTCAAAACCTTTCTTTGTGGTAGTATTATCAATTAGGATTAAGGTTGACAGAGAGAGAAGAATTATATACCACTAAACAATGGCTTAAGTAGATGGTTTATTTCTCTTTCCTGTTCCAGTATTCCAGAAACAGTCCAGGGATGATATGACGTAGTGGCAGGGATTCAATCTTTGTTTTATACTTCTGGCATACGTAGCTTTCATTCACAAGGCTACCTCAAGGACAAAGCAGGCTGTTATAGCCCTGCCATCACGTCATTTTCCAGCTGTTGGAAAAAGGAAGGGTGCAAGAGGTCACACCCTCTTTCTTTAAAGACACTTCCCAGAAGTAGCACATACCATTTCCACATATATCCCAGAACTTAGACCACACCTAGTTGTAAAAGAATTTTTTTTTCCATCATTTATGTGTCTAGCTAAAAAATTAAGATTCTTTTGCTGAGGAAGAAGGGGAGAATAGATATTGAGAGACAGCAGTATCTGTTGCATTTGAACTATTATTATCCCCATCTCACAAATGGAGACACTGAATCATAGAGAAAGTAAGCTAAGATCTCACAGCTGGTACAGCCAAGATTCAAACCCAGATCTATCAAACTTCAGAGCCCTTAAGCACTACTTTGGAGTACCTCTACCTTAAAACAGTTATTTGACTTTATTCTGTCTCTTCATCTAAATTAGTATAAAGAAAACCTTTCTGGGGCACCTGTGGCTCAGTTGGTTAAGCATTCAACTCTTGATTTTTGGCTCAGGTCATGATCTCACAGTTCATGGTTTTGAGTCCCATGTGAGGCTCTGTGCTGGTAGCGTGGAGCCTGCTTGGGATTCTCTCTCTCTCTCTCTCTCTCTCTCTCTCTCTTTGTCTCTCAAAATAAATAAATAGACTTAAAACCAAAAACCAAAAAAACCCACCTTTCTGACTAAGTTGCTAGGTCAACCTATTGAAACAATGGAATTCTTTATTTTACTAAGTGTTCTTGGCAAACAACATAGTACTGGTATCAACTTGTGCAATGAAGACTTTACTTCTGCTGACCTTTTGGGTAAGTGGATTCACAGAATTTAGTGACAGGTTTAGAAAATTGCCGAGCTGACAGATTAAAGTCTTATTGCCAGTCTTCTACTTGTTCAAGGTTGCAAAAGGTTTAAGTGTCATTAAAATATGCTTTGCTATCTTATTGATGGTTTAGATTTTAAACAAGGCAATAAAAAACAAGGTTTCCAATAGGATCAATAAGAATAAATAGAAGGAATATTTACTGTATGAAAAAAACAGTATTATTATGATTTATTCTTCAAAGATAAAATTTTAAGTTAATGATAGCAATTCTTAGAATAAATCAAACCATACTTTTTCTAAGTTATTTGAAAATTATCGCATTTAGGTGGTTAACCTGTGATTCTCTAATATCTCACTTGAGTAAAAATCTAAATCATACAACATATTATGAACTAAGGCTCTCTTCCTTCCTTCAATTTCATAGTTTTTTGTTTTGTTTTGTTTTTTGGCTCCAGTTTTATTCAGCTTCTTGTCTCTGCCTAGTTTGTGAGGGTTTTTAATCTTTCTTATGTCTGCCTATCCCTCTGCTTTTCTAGCGAGAGCATCTGCATGTGAATGAATACATCAACAAACAAGTAAATACCATGTTTTATAAATGTCACAACTTAATGTTACTTTGTTGCTTAAACTTTTCAACATTTTACAGAATCTCTACACATTTATCAATACTTCTCTCATCGCTCCTCGGCCTTTTGTCTAAGATTAAGTGTCTAAGATCAATCTTCTCAAGAATACTATTAAAATAAATTATATATATTATATTATATTATATTATATTATATTATATTATATTATATTA